CCCCCACACACACCCCAAAAAATAAAAAGCAACAAAATATTTGAAGTCATTTTAGTGTTAATATGTTGAGTGTCATTAACAGTAGAGGAACAGTGCTTACATTACTAAAGGAAGAAGAAAAAATGGACAGATCAGTTGGGTCTTTATTTCAAGTTATGGCTGACTGGTTATGTTTATAGCATCAAAACGATGAAATTGCCAAAAAAAAAAAAAAGATGTAGAGAGTGAGTTGCAACAAGCCTAATGCAAATTTATAAGCAAGAGTTTCATTTTCAGTAGTGCTAACAGATGGACTGGCACATTTTATAGCCAAGTGCAAGCAGAACTCCAGCTCACACGTGAGTTTTGCTCCCTCATAGGCCAACCAACCCTACAACCTGATGTGCACCCCCAGCTATCACTGAAGTTAGTGGCTCAGATTCTAAAGCCAGAACAAACCTCTGTGGTCAGCTAGTCTGACGACCTGTTGATCCCGGGTTCTTGCCCTTTCCCTGAATGCACGCGTGGTTTAACAGGAGCATAGCAATACACTCCATTCTGTCCTGAGCCCCCTGCTGCAAATCCATCGGAAGGGCGCTAACTGCAGAGGAGTCACTCTGGGTGGAGTGGTTGTATCACACAGTAGCCATTTAGAGTCCTGTACACTAGGGCTACATAAAACACAAACTAACAAGATGCTGTCAGTCAGCCTCAGCTGCAGGGGAAAAGATCACCTTGTCACCTGCTAATGTAACAGGGTTCTTTGCAGTTTTCTGTAACAAGTGGGAAAAAAATACAATTGTTCCTTTTTCATGCTGAAGCCGTGTTTTTCACTTCTCTTTTAATGTCAGAAAATAGTTTTAACTCAAAATAAAGCTGGCTGCTCCCTGTCTGAAATGCCTATGGGCACTGAGATCAAAAGATGAAAAGAGCTTCTTACTATGCAATGCTAGGACATGCAAGCACTAGATACTAACGCAGGGGTTGGCAACCTTTTCAAACCAAAAAGCCAAACTACATCAAAATGTAGAACAAATGGTCATCAAAAAGCCGTATAAGAAAGCCCATTTGCATGATGTGCAATGTATTATGTATTGATAATTGACATGATTAATAATAGCACAAGTGAAACATTTAATGGGATTTCTGCTGCTGCAGCTTTTCACACATATTTGAAGTTTACATCATAACTGGTCAAAGCCAGCTTCATGCATGTATTCAAGCCGTTTCCTGTGACTCTTATGGCAGGGGGCTGGAGATGTGAGGGTGGAGGAGTCTGACTTGGGGTACAGGAGGGGCTCAGGGCTGGGACATAGGAGGTGCAGGAGTGTTATGACTCTGCAGCTAGATCAATTGGGGGCTTGTTGATCAGGCTTAATTTTTAAATGAAGTAAAATCTTATGTCCAACACAAAAGGTTTCAACACTGTCTTTGTTTATGGCAGGGGTGAGGAACCTTTTTTGGATCCTCTGACCCTCAGAAAAACAAGTTGGGGACCACACACGTGAGAAGAAAAAAAAAACCTTAAAAAAACCCCAACCCTCACTGATGTGGCCCCCAATTGAAACAACTCACTCCCCTGGTGCGCCAGCCCCATGATGTGGGGAGGGTCAGGAAGGACTGAGGTTGAAGGTCTCAGGCCAGATTTACTCTTCTGGGGATCCAGGGTCACTGGATTTTGGGGACCCCCTCGGCACTGGAGTGGAGCCAAAAATAAGGGGATTACTGGGCAGGACAGACCGGCCAGTGAGTGCAATAGAGACTGGGGTGCAGGATCTGCGCGGGAGGTACGGTACAGGAGCAAGCTGGGAATAGAGTGGGTGGCCAAGGGGGAGGGTTCAGGAGCAGGCTGGGGGCGTGGGGTGCAGGGGAGGAGAGTGCAGGATCTGGGCATGAGGGACTGGGAAGGGGCACTTACTTGTTTGGAAGCAGCGGGGAAAGCCTCCAGGAAATGTGTCCATGTACTGCTGTTCCCACCGCTGAGGGAGGGAGAGTGGAAGGGAAGCAGTAGCATGCACAGCCTTGGGGCTTCCCCAGTCTTGCAGGGGGCCAGGAGACTGGAGCGCCAGCGCTGGCTCCCAGCTGCGAGGGGAGCTAGGGAAGGACTGAGCTCAAGCTACAAACAAGACACATCTGGCTCGCAAGCCACAGGTTACCACCCCCTGCACTAAAGCAATCTCAAAGTTACACTTGGCCAAGAATTGTTTACATTCCTTTTTCCATAGTCTGAAGCCTCGATGACAGCAGTCTGCTTTTAACTGCTTTTTTCTGTAGTGCACTACAAATACTGACCATTCTCTTGTCCTTTGCAGACCTGCATATTCAGTGCAGCAATTAGTCATGTGTGCTACCTGCAGAACTCAAATGTGCCACAGATGGACACCAGCAGGATTTTACAAGCAAAACAAGATCAAGGACACAGCGCTGGTTTCAGATTATCAGTGATCTCTGCTTTTTTCTTTCATTCTCCTACTTGCTACAGGACATCAGCAAAACAAGTCAGCTATTTCTCCAGTCTACAGGCAAGCTCGCCCTGGAAACCCCCCTATTTTAAAACACCTGCATGTCCACCACTCACACCATAACTGCCATGCTCTTTATTTAGAGGGGATCAATTTCATGTTCAAAGTTCTTTTTGTAGTTAATTGAATTTCTAATCATTTAAACCTGGCCTTTCGTTCTAACGTAACCAAGTCCCAGCAAATACACCCCAGGACTATATGGCCCCTGCTGCAATTAAAACATGATGGCAGAAATGGTTGGATGGCCATATGTTCTCCTGGGAGGAGCAGCGCCAGGATAACTTTTGCTATGGGAAGCAGTCGGATGGGCCAAGTATGTGTTTAGAGAGACTGTATACCACCCTGCAGTGGCCCTGCTGTTTCTATTTCAGTAAATGCTTGGCTTTGCTTTTACTTCCTTCTTGCTGAAGCTGTTTGGGTTAAACAAATTCCATCACCTTCTACCAGGCTGTGGCACTGAGCAGTTGCTACTTGCTCTGATAATGTTAGAAGGAAGAACCAAGCTTGGCTCCAGTTCCTCTTATTTGTCTTTTTACAGAGCTGTTCTCTCTTCTCTTCCCCCACTTACTCTCTGACCCCATCAGCAGTAACTCTTCCTAGTCTGAGGCATCAGCCTTGCCATTTTGCTTTAGTGTTCCATGGTGTCCCCCCCACAGAAGAGAAACCGAGAGAGCGTCACTGTGTTGTATGTTCCTATCTCTCTGCCTCTCTCCCTCTGCCCGCCTGCCTATCTTGTGTTTCTCTAGACTGACCTATTATGGGATGTAACCTAGATCCTCACTGCGTAGCCTTGCTGAATTGAAAGAATCTCTCCTGTGTCTCGGTGAGCCTCAGGTTATCAACATGTTCTAGGAAACACCTACCAGCTTGCATTCTCATCGCAATTCTAGCCCCTCCAGAAGCTGAGCTGCAAGCACGTTGCAGACCCATTAGTGTTTCCAGATTAGAAACAATGTTTTTTTTTTAAATAAAAAGAGCTTAAGATTCTAAATCATTAACAAAGTAGAGAGGTTGACTCGAACAGTAACATTTTCTTAAATGGATGGCATTTTGTCTTAGACCAGCCCTGCCAGAGATGCTGACATGGAAGTCTTTCTCCTGCAAGAAGTATGAAAATCCCGTTTTATATATTCAAATATTAATTAGTCCCCCACAGTCCTGTCAGGTAGGCAAGAGTTATTCCCATTTTCCAGATGGGAAAATAGGTAAAGAGAACATCTCAACAGGTTAGAGAATGCAGTTTTGGGAACATCTGCTCTTGCAAGAGAAAAAGCACTCTGCATGGAAGATCCTAGTAAGTGACAAAGATTTGTTTAAAAGTACAAATTAAAAAGTAAGCATTGCTTGCAAACAAGGCTTATGTATTTACTTGTCACTAGAACAGCAAATAGGTTGGAAAAGCAAGTTACCCGGACTATTCATTATTGCCACTCTGTGATCTAGTTTCAGTAATCGTCATTGACAGAGTTGCAGCCAGTCTTTGCTACTTAGCTTGCACCGGACTAGGGACAAACACTAGCAAAGACCACAGCACCTCGAAGAAGAGTTTTGCCAAGAAATACAAATGTTGAAAGCAAGGAGTGGAAAAACCAGAACTCAAGAAAAGCTTAAACAAATGACTGGCTGACATTTTAAAAGATCACCGTCTTTTGTTTTTGTAACTCTGTTATCCTTTACGCTAATGGTCTCCAACCTTTTTAGCCACAAGATTGCTTTTTCTATTTAACTGCGAAGCAAGATCTACTACAAACCCAAATACCCTTGCCTCGCTTCCTTCCCGCCCCTTCTCCTAGACCTCACCCTGTTCACTCCATTCCCTTTCTTCCCCCATCCTCACTCACTCACACCAGGCTGGGTGCAAGCTCTGGTCTTAAGCCAAAGAGTTTGGAGTGAGGGAGTGGCCCCAGAGTGGGGGATTCAGCTGGTCCTGCATCACACCTGAAAGCATCTGGCATGTACAGCAAAGGCTCCATGGTGCCACGTGCTACCCCCTCATCGACAGGCCCTGAGCCCACAACTTCTACCGGCCACGGTTCCCTGTTATTGATCAATGGGAGATGCAGGAGTGGTGTCTGCAGCGAAGGACAGCATGTGAGTTGCTTGCTCCAGCCAAGACAGGTTTGGCATTTTAGAACTCCTTAATCAAAGAATTACATTTAAGGGTAAGAGAGAAATGAAAATTATGAAGTGCACAGACCAGTCAAAAATCCAAAATAACCCACTTTGCAAGCAGTAGAAGTAGTAACAACACCCCCCCCCACTGTTTGTTGGGTTGGGAGTGAAGGACAGTGTGTGTTTGTGAGAATGACAGACACACAGTGTGTGAGAATGACAGAGATTTGCATTGCCAAGCGCCCTCCATCCCTTTCTCTCTGTGTGGAGATGGGGTATAAGAGGGACACCCTGACATCAGCACCTCCTCCTTCCCCTTCCTCCCACACCCAGCACAGCAAGCAGGAGGCTCCCAGGGGGGCAGCTCCAAGGCAGGGGGCAGGAGCAGCATGACAGCGGGTGGAGAGGCAACTGAAGAGCCAGCACTTGAGAGCTTCCTGGCCAAACCTGTCAGGATCACCTGTCAGAGACCCCAAGATCTACTGGCTGGTGATCAATAATAGATTCTGCTTTACGCAGATACAGAAATTAAGAGGATTTGCTGCATCAACATTTCCTCAAAGATACAATGAGTTGTCAGATTGCCCAAAGCTAACAAATCACAACAAGATTAATTCCTGTCCCCGTGATGACATTCGCTCTTTTTGTTGCAAATATGAAGTTTTGTTTTCTGACTTCCAGCAAACTGCTCAATGGCTTGCATTAGTGATCATGGATTCACGGTCCTATGGAAAACAAATATTAGACAAATGTAGGAAAAGTAGAACAATTCTCATCTGCCTTTGAAAAAATTTCATTCAAGACATTCCTCTGCTACTATTACGAACAGCAGCAGACCCCAGAGACACCTACACCAAATGAATGAAAGAAGGAAAGGCTGACGGATGCCAGTGGAGATACCGGAGAGAGGTTGAAGAGAAAAGAATTAACAGACCAATTTAGGTCTCAGAGAACAGGAATGCACACTGGCAATGGACAGCAGGTAAACATCAATAAAAACTATGAGGTTAGAATTCCTATCTGTGTACCTTTCACTCCACTGGAAGGGGCGAGTCAGAGGGCCAGCATACAGTACAAGCAGCAGAAGAAACAATGTAAAAAGTTACAGCACCCTTGAATTGTAGCATAGCTTAACAACCTCATTACTAAGATACGACCTAGCTAGTGGAGCATGCTTAAAAATCAACAATGCCAATGCTTTTAAGGACACTTTATAAGCAGAAAAATAGTAGAAACAAAACTTTTGTGAACAGTTTGAAAGATACAAAAAAGTGCCTTTTCACAGCAGTGCTTTAAAAATGCACACAATGGTATATTCTTATTGCTCAAATAAACCACTCTACAATATTAGAACAATTTCCAGGAGATGCTGGAGGTGCTAAAGCAGAGTCAAAACCATATGAAAGAGGTCAGCAGGCACAGCACCACTCATTTTCTCTTTTCACAATGCACTTACGTAAAACTATACAAGTGCAGATGTTTTGTGACAGCTTCTTTCCTAGTCAAACACTCAGGTCCTCATTTTAAAAGTATAATAATAATCAACAAGGGGGAACAATGCTTCCCACATCCCCAAGTCAAAATGGCAAACAATCTCTCTTACCAAAGACTAGTTTCTGGTTATCAACACATGAGATAGTACAGCATTGCTTGTGATTTCTGGGCTGCTTTCTTTGTTTCTTATTTTAGAAACAACTAGAATCTATTACTGAAGGAAAAAAGGTAAAATTCTGACCACCCCAATCCGATTAGTATCCCTTTCATGATCAGGGAAATTCACACGAATGCGCATGTTAAGGTACAGCGCTAACGTCAGAGTTATTTTACTATGTACACTGTACTGTACGAGACGCAAGATTGTTTAAACTAACTATGCTACCATATCACAATGTCCAATACCCGAGTAAGGCTGCACAATCAAAAGCTAGCAGATAAGAAAAAAGATTCTATTATTTTGACTGTATGGTTGTAATCAGCAGCAAATAAATAAGAAATCAAATAAAATACTCTCTTTCCTCCTATTAAGGCCCCTCATGATGTAACAGGATTCCTCACAGATTTATCAGCTCCCCAATTATATATATATTTTCAGTCATCTTCTGTGACTCCCAGAAGTGCAATTTGTTAATTAATAGGCATATGCATTTGGTGCAGTCTCAAAAAGTCAAAGAAAACAGGCTGCCAGCTATTCTTGGACTGAAATTACTTCTCATCTCCCTCCCTCCTCAAATGAAACCTTCTAGCTCACTGCTTAAGAATTACAAAGCTTCCTTCCGTGTTCTCAGCCTTTTTTGTAAAGATAATTCATCTCTTTGGGCACCGACAAGATGAGTGTCTATAGATGGCGTGAGAGAAAATTGCTGAACACAGAAACATACCTGTATTTTCAATCAGATATATACATGTACTGATGATGTAGCATCTTCGGTGCGGGTCAGCAGAGCCTCCCCATGTGTCAAAGTAAGGAACTGCAGCCAAGCAATGATTGTAGGAGCTCTCAAAAGGAGTTCGCAAATCATCAGTTAGAATGCCTATTGGATTGGAATAATAAATATGCATTCCACTTAGTGCATGAACAACAAAGTTGGAGCTGAGAGTGGTTTTCAATTATTTGGAAGGGGAGGCTCTTTATAGTATAAATATAATTCACTCCAGCCCATTATATATAAATCTCTTTTTGTTCAAAATGTATTTATTTTCAGTAGTATTATGACCAGAATGATTTGGTATGTTGTGTCTGCACTGCCAATCAATTGACAATGTACAGATCCTGACACAATGCTTCAGTTCTGTACCATTTACCCGTCACAAACTGCCAAAAGATGCTTTTCTGATTTAAAGTGCCCCCTGCATCTTCATTTTCAGGTAAAGGTTTGACTGGTTAGAGTCCAATTTCTGGCAATATATATGTCAGTGGACTGAAACAATAAATACAGGTCTACAAAAACATTCTGGTTATCTTCTATAATGCGACTTAATATATCACAATCTATTATAGAACTACATTTATAATACATGCACGAACATGTCTCACATGGACAGACACTACAAAAATTTCTTTTTTTCTTAAATGCAGAAAAAAGTAAGAAAGGTTTTTGGTCCAATCCATACGAATGATAAAAGAAACTGAAAGGGAGAAGACAAAACCCCTCCACGCCTTTGAAATAACCAAACCCAAACCCTCTAACTTTTTGGACTAGTTCTGAAAGGGAATGCATATAGTTACTCTTAGCGACGGGGAAACCACGGCTTGATCACGTTACCGCACAAGTCACATGTTTTCTCTCTCTACACAGTACAGATTTGCTGATTGTAAAATTGACTGAAAGTCACACAGATATAGTTCACCTAACAATTACCAGTCTCTAGACAGCTTGGTGTTCTGATCCCTTTTAGGGGGAGCGGGAGGTGGCCCCCTCCGCAACGTTGCATAGCCTGAGATGTGGCTGCCTCCATAGCTGCCAGTCTTTTGCTGGTCAGCAAGCAGTTCTGGTGGGGGTGGAGGCAACACCATGTCATCCATTGTGGCAGTCGGTTCTGTTCTGGATACACGGGAAGAAGAGAGGGAGCCATGCCGAGTGATGGACTTCCGCTGCAGAGTCCTGTTTAGGTCTGCCAGGAAGCCAGGCTGAACACTAAGGCTAGACTTGGGTGAGGTGGGCACTTGTGGACTGACTGTCCCCTGTGATTCCATGATTTCTGCCTGTGTAAGTCGTGTGCTGTCATTCCGCTTGGGGCGCGTGGGCGGGGGGGCTTTCTTCACCGATGATTTAGACCAGGGCTGAGGCTGGGGATTAACAACAGCAACTTTTGGAGAGGCGCTACCTGAAAACACTGATGGGATCTCAATTGGTGGTAACGGCAAGTCGATTTCCGGTGGAGGTGGTGGAAAGTCAGAATCGGATGGAGGAGAAGGAAATTCTACCATGGGCTCCTTCTCAGACACTCCTATTGCAGGTGCCTTTGCTGAAACACCTCCTTGCTGGAGAACTATAGGCAGATTCACCCCAGAAAGATTTAGCTTTCCTGGCTTTGGTGGAGCTGCAGGAGGAGGTGGGGACTCCTTGGAAGGAGACCCTGAGGGCTCTGGTGGGTGTGCAAATTTGCTGACAAGGCTGTCTACCGAAGGTCTCTTTGATTCATGGTACTCAGCAGAGCTGCTGGATTTGATGCTGGAGTTTCGCTGAGGTGTTGGGGGTGGCTTCTTCCCTCCAGGACTTGAGGTCTTGCTGGCCTTTTTGACTGGAGATCCCGCCTTGTCCAGGGTAGGAGAAGCTGCAGAAGGAGCTGGGGAAGGTGGTGGAGGAAACACTAGGGTGCTCTCAGGTGGAGGAGGAGGAAAATCAGGAGATGGAGCAGAGGTGGGTTGCCACTTGGGTTTTGCTTTCACTGCTGGCGGTGACTGTGGGGCCCCACTTGCTGGGACAGGCTTCACAGGCTGAGGCTCTGTTGCTGGAGGGGTTGGAGGAGGTGGAAACTGATTGGCTATTTGCTTCACAACAGACGGTCCAGGAGACTGCGGAGAGGGGGGAGGTTTAACTGAGAAACTCTGCTGTTTTGGTAAGGTGGGAGGGGGAGCAGGGCCTGGAGGAACAGGGGCTGGCAGAGGAGCTGTGAAATTCGGCTGCTTTTTTATCACAGGAGGAAGGGGAGCAGGCCCAGGGGGCGGGATGTGAGTCACGACAGGCGATGCAGCCTTTGCATTTGCCTGAATGGGGGCAGGCAGAGTGGGCTTAGGAGGAGCTGGGGGGGG